GGGGGGGGGGGGGGGGGGAGGGGGCAGACGCAGGGAAGGATACTCTAAGTGGAAATCTTCTTATATGGGGTGAATGGGGCAATACATACCCTATAAGGGACGGATCATTATTTTTTTAGGGAGGGTGGGTGTTGGGCAATTTTCTGGGGCGTTAATTTTTTTTTTTTTCACCTTCAAGTTGTGGATTTGTTTTTGGTTGCCAATACCTTGAGCAAGAACTGTTTTTAACATCAAAGATTGGACCTGGATAGTAGAAAGCACTTGCTCGATTTAAGTACTAAGGTTTTGGGGAATTAGGTTATTAGGGTATTGATGTATTGAGGTATTCTGGTTTTAGGGTATTGGAAAATTGGGGTACTGGGTTTTTGAGGTTATAAAAAATTAGGGTAGTAGGGCATTAGGGCATTAGGATATAAGACATTAGGGCATTAGGGTATTAAGGTATAACGGTATTAGGGTATTAGGGTATCAGGGTATCAGGGTATTAGGGTATTAGTGTATTACAGTATTAGTGTATTGGGGTGATATGATAAGTATTTGGGTATTAGGGTATCAGGGTATTAGGGTATTAGGTATTAGGGTGTTAGGGTATTAGGGTATTTTGGTATTACAGTATTAGGGTATCAAGGCATTAGGGTATTAGGGTATTGGGGTATTAGGGTATCAGGGTATCGGGGTATTAGAGTATTAGAGTATTAGGGTATTAGGGTATTAGGGTATCAGGGTATCAGGGTATTAGGGTATTAGGTATTAGGGTGTTAGGGTATTTGGGTATTAGGGTATTAAGGTATTGGGATATTAGGTATTTGAGTGTTAGGGTATCAGGGCATTAGGGTATTAGGGTATTAGGGTATTGGGGTATTGGGGTATTAGGGTATCAGGGTATTAGGGTATTAGCTATTAGGATGTTAGGGTATTAGGGTATTTTGGTATTACGGTATTAGGGTATCAGGGGTATTAGGGCAATGAAGTATTAGGATATCAGGGTGTTAAGGTATTAGGGTATTTGGGTATCAGGGTATCAGGGTATCAGGGTATTAGGGCATTAGGGCATTAGGGTATTAAGATATCAGGGTATTAGGGTATGGGGTACTTGGGTATTAAGGTATTAAAGTATTAGGGTATTAGGGTGTTAAGGTATTAGGGTATTGGGGTATTAGGGCATTAGGGTATTAAGGTATTTTGGTATTAGGGTATTAGGGTATCAGGGTGTTAGGGTATTAGGGTATTAGGGTATGGGGTACTTGGGTATTAAGGTATTAAAGTATTAGGGTATTAGGGTGTTAAGGTATTAGGGTATTGGGGTATTAGGGTATTAGGGTATTAAGGTATTTTGGTATTAGGGTATTAGGGTATCAGGGTGTTAGGGTATTAGGGTATTAGGGTAGTAGGGTATCAGGGTATTAGGTATTAGGATGTTAGGGTATCAGGGTATTTTGGTATTACGTTATTAGGGTATCAGGGTATTAGGGTATTAGGGTTTAAGGGTATTAGGGTGTTAGGGTATTTGGGTATCAGGTATCAGGGTATTAGGGCATTAGGGCATTAGGGTATGAAGGTATCAGGTATTAGGGTATTGGGGTATTTGGGTATAAGGATATTAGGGTATTAGGGTGTTAGGGTGTCAGGGTATTATGGTATCAGGGTATTAGAGTATTAGGGTATTAGGACATTAGGGCTATCAGGGTTTTAGGGTATTAGGGTATTAAGGTATTAGGGGGTTAGGCTATTAGGCTATTTTTTTCAGACGTTTTCTGAGAAGGAATTTTTTTGGGAAATTGCCCAAGCCCCCCTCAAAAAAATAATTGTCAGTCCCTAAGACGGGGTGTGCTGTTAGAGAGTTTTCCAATTTTAATGTCGTAAAACCAAAACCAAAGTTACCATTCTAGCCAATCACAGAGGGCACAAATAATCCAGTGAACCAATCAAAAACCGACGCAAATGTATGCAGCGGATGCAAAGCATGGGAAAACGTGTGCCAGCGAGTCGCGATTGGTTTGGTTTTACTTCTGATTGGATGACAAAATGGCATGAGTTTTTCAAACCAATCACTTAGTGTAGTAATGGAAACCGAACCAAATTACATTCGACGTTCCTGTGAAAACCGCTCTAAGTAATGGTAATAGGACTGAGTGGAGTCCAGTTCGATCTGTTATCATTAGCGTGATAACAAAATCAGACGACCACACAGTGGGAGTCTGATTTGTTTATCACAAGTGTGATTACAGACCGAATTGGACGATACGAAGTCTTATTACCAATTAATCATAAAAATTACAATTTCCGAGAAAAGAAGAATAGCCAAGTTATGAAAGAAAGGGAAAATTTGCGTTAAAATACCTACAAAGGAGATGTAAACATTCTAAGGCCACTGCGCCTCCTACCGGCAATCAGGCGCCAAAAACACAAAAGCAAGCGCGCACACGCATGCAAGTAACTACAACTTTGAATGTGATTGGTTGATTTAAACTACAACTTTGAATGTGATTGGCTTAACGAACTGTCCGATAACAAACTGTCCAACTTGGCAAGTGAATTAGTAGAAAATAGGAGTTTTTTAAACCAATCACAATCGAGGAAATTATAATTTTGATTAATAGAGAAGTCATTAGGTTGTAGGTACAAAATACCCTGCAACTATAGAAAGTACCACTTTACCCCAGCTGGAGTTATCATGTGGTGCTCTTATGCAAGACGCTTAACTTTTAAAGAGCTTCTCTCTACCCAGGAGTATTGAAGCGGTTTGCACATGTCCAAAGTGGTTAGCATTTGCTTTGGTTTTACATTACTACGGTAAGTGATTGACTTGAAAAGCTTGCATCAAATTTTCATCAAATTAGAAGAAAAACCAAATGTATGACTCACTAGCACAGGTTTTCTCACGCTTTGCGTGTGTCGAGCACATGAATTTGCTTTGAGCTTTGATTGGTTCATTGTATTGTCTGGGTCCTTTGTGATTGGCCAGAGTAAATGCTTTGGTTTTGATTTTACCATACTCGTTGAAAATCGCTCTAATGGGTAATGGCCAATTGTTAAGGCAGCAAGTGCTAGCGGGTAGGGGGTGGGGCAACCCTGTAAGGGACTAGCATTTGGTTTAGTGTAAGTTGCGATATCTCATAGATGTTTTATGCCAGAGAAACCGGAGTAAAGAGTTGGCCTGGTAACTACCAAGACTTGAGCTGTACCTACCTATCGGGTTTGAGAATTTTTGGAGAAACTTGCAAAATTTCCTTGATTACTTCCAGTCCATCACTTCCACCATGGAACGCTTGGGAATCTTCGTGTCTGTCGAAAAAAGTGGTAAAGTGCTCTATGAGCTCTGCTGTTAGAGGCTGGTTTTCCGCACGATGCAATGAGCTATGTTGTGCTGTGTTGCATTGTACTCTGCTTATGCTGCATTGCGTTGCAATAGTTGAGACTACGGCTGCCCGCTGATTCCTACGATAATGCATTGTGTTTTGTGTTTGCCTTTTCTTTCTGTGTTTCCTTTTTTGCGTTTTAGCATTTTCCGCTTACTAAATTCATTCATTTAGCCCTGTTTTGTGATGGTTCTCAGAGGCTCAGTACAGACGTAGAATTTTTGAACTTGTTCATTTACAGTGGGATACCTGGTCTGCACACTATCCTAATACAATAGGGGACAAAACGAAGATATCGCTACAACACACTCGGATCTACCTGAAAATTTCAGGCTCCAAGAGAGTCACATCTTGTTCAGGAATGTATGGAGGATTACTAATGACGGCATCAAACTTTGTGGAGCCAAGTAATGGCAGCACAGATCCTAAAGTGCAGAAGGAAAACAATAATAAATGAGTGAAATGAGAATAGCTTCAATATAACTGATAAATCTAGTACAACCCTTACACTTATTGAAGTATGGATGCTGTTAAACACGCCCCTAAGGCTGGCACACACTAGGGTACACATTGCAGGAACATGAAGAAGGGAGATTTTGCAGCAACAGTTTTCGTTGAGTGACAAGCCCCTTTTTGCGGAAAAGTTCTATTGTGGGGACAAACTTTTGTCTTCATAACATAATGCATGAAATTCAGCTGGTTTGAATTCACACGTCATGAAGCAGGGACAACATGACCTCAATTTTCAATGTCACATTTTGTGCACCGCTTTTGCTTATTGTCCCTGCTACAACATAGAGATGAACAAATATCCGCTTTGTACAGCTTGCCGACCGTCCCTGCAACATGCGTCCTGTGCGTACACGCGAAGAGGCTTGTCCTTCTGGTCCACGTCCACCTGACATTTCCCCTAGCATGTGCCGAACTTCAAACCATTTGCATGTTTTTGCGCTTGAGGCTAGTTTCATGTTTAACACCATTAAAGCCCTTTTCATGTTTCCCACCCTTGTAGCTAGTTGAAGCCGTTTTCATATTTTCCCGTACTAAAACCATTTGCATGTTTTCCTGCACGCTTGAAGCTGGTTTCCCGTTTCCCTGCACGCAAGCAGGTTCATGATTTTCTGTGCTAGCAACCATTTATAAATTTTCTTGCACTAAAGCAAATTGGATATTTTTCTGCGCAGAGGACATTTGCAGGTTTTTCCGTGCTTGAAATCGTTGTTCAAATTTTCTTGCATCAAAAGCCACTTGGACTTTTTCCTGCGTTTGACACCTGTGTTTTTTCCCCACACCAAAGCGGCGCTTGAAGCTTGTTGCATGTTTTTGCCTCCAAATCTGCTTGGTCCATTGTGTTGCTTATGCATAGCAAGGTTTGTCTCAAAAACAGCAATTAGAAAACTGCTCTGATAAACGCAAATGAAGTTACTTACGAACGTCAGCATGATGAAGTGTTATCCTGTCTCTTACATTGCAACTGATGATAAACAAAAATAAAAGAAAACAGATTCTATATTAAGACACATTAGTAGTCCCACTTTATCCTCACCAGGCCTGCATATTGTTTTGGCTTGTCACACAATCTCTCATTCCCAACAAGGAAAGACTGCGTGATGCATGACAAGCCGAAAGATCACCTCCATAGTCCAAGAAGCTTGCAAAATGCCAAAGGCTGATAATTGATGTGAAAGTTTGACGAAAAGTGACAAGCACCCAAAAAACAACCAGGCTTGTTAAGCTTGACAAGCACTCACACTTCTGCTGAACAAACATTTGAGAAGTACTTATTTTGTCTTCATATTGGGCCGGAGAAGTACTAATTTCCCATGTTAACTGAAGAAAATCAACCAGCCAAATTCTCCACCCAAACAAGACAAGGACATAGCCTGTGAACAGGCTTTCTAGTTGAAGATGGGATGACTGAGAAAGCGGGAAGAAAGAGGATAGAAGAGAGAGGAAGATATGCCCCAACCCCCAACCTATTCCCCCCTTGGCAACTTCCCTCTCAGCCAGTTCCTTCGTGGTCATTCCAACAGCAGTCAGACCCTTCCAGCAGGAGCCTGTTCATGGGCTACAAGGATTATGATGACTCCCCAGGCTGTCTTAATTTCCTGTTATACCCACTGGGTTTTCATAGATGACACTTCTAGGAGCAGTTGGCAAAAAAGGTCATTTTCAGCTATTACTCACTCACACCTGTTTACATTTTCTCTTGTGAGACTAACAGCTTCTTTGTTCTTGTCAATAGCTACACATGTTGTCTGGGGAAGAAAAGAATTAATAAAAGCTTTAACCAGTCAGTAATAATTATTTTTAGCCAGACAGTAATAATTTTTATTCGGTCAGTTATAATTATTAGCCAGTCAGTAATAATTATTAGCCAGTCAGTAATAATTATTAGCCAGCCAGTAATAATTATTAGCCAGCTAGTAATAATTAATTAGCCAGTCAGTAATAATTTTTATTCTGTCAGTTATAATTATTAGCCAGTCAGTAATAATTTTTATTCAGTCAGTTATAATTATTAGCCAGCCAGTAATAATTATTAGCCAGTCAGTAATAATTATTAGTCAGTCAGTCCATCAGCAGACTGTATCTTAGCCCAGGCTGGCATGTCGGTCTTCATACAACATATTAGGCTCAGGCTCCAGCTGTCGGTGTTTTGGTGCACACACAATCCTCTCCACGGCACACAAAAGCACCTGTGGTTGAAGACTGAGCCTTACAATGTATCTGAAGCCTAAAAGTTTGTGCAACACAAGCTCCTCATGTCCCCACTGGATTTTCTGATTCTTCCAAACTTCTACTTGTGCTTCTGTAACTTGACACAGAAAACATTCCTACTTCTTAAAGGGAGCATACACTGTATATTTGCCCGTGTCAGTCTACCTGAGGATATTCTGACAGTATTGACAAACAAATGGCTCCACTTCCACATCCTACTTCCAAGAAATTAAACTTGTCACCTTCATCAGCAAGGCCATGGTGACTAGCAACTAGATCTATCAGTCCCTGTGTGGAAAAAAAAAAATACAAAATCATTGTTGCAATGATTGAAACTTTGCCTTTTGGCAAACTAGCAATCTCACTGACTATCTATTTAAATCGATATCCTTGATCAACCCTTGATCGACACTCTATCAACATCTCAATTGTTACTTAGTCAACACTAGACTGACACTCAATTGACCTCTCGAGGGAAAGACCATGTAAAAAATGGGAAGGATCACTAAGTCACCCACTGGTAGTCTATTTTAAACAAACTAACTGGCACATGCCAAAAATTCACCATCAAGCCTCATTTGCAAGAAATTTTAACAAACCTCTATCACCTTTGTGTTGTTTACACAAGGGTTTTCTTTTCATAATCTGTGCTCCGTTGGGAATTTGTTCATGATAAAATTTGGTAGTCAGATGTCAACATGCATAAAGACTATTGTCAAATACTATTTAAACATTTTCTACACCATTACAGTCAACTCCCGATAACTCAAGGGAAATTGAAAAAGGTTCAAGTTGTCGGGAGTTGAGAACAAATGACTGGAAATAAGGAAAAAACGATGTTTAATGTTCTTCTATTTGTGCAACACTTTGTGAAAACCAGCGGAACCTGAACCGAACGGACATGTTTTGTGTAATATAAAAGAAAGGAAAAAGTTCACATGGCTGCTTCAAAATAAATTTAATGTTTTGGACTACAGTAAACTGTTTGTTTTGACTTGTCATCTATTGACAGACATGGTTCGAGTTATCAAGGGTAAAATTATATAGAAAATGACCTGAAGGGAAACAAAAATTGCTTCAAAGTTAGGAGGAGGTTCGAGTTATCAAACGTAAAATAACAGTAAATGTATGACTGAAACCCAGGGGAAATCGATTTCGGTTTGAGTTAGCACAAGATTCCAGTTAGCAAGGGTTTAAGTTATCAGGAGTTGACTGTAAATATAAATTTTCCAACCTTTTTCCTTACATACCTCAGTCTCTGGTCTTGGAATGAAGACAGGCGGCATCATTTTCAAGGTTAAATGCCTGAAATCCCATTCACCAATAATGTACTGTACAGGAACTCTAATTTAGATAACACCAGACAAAGTTGGAAGAGCCAAGAAGTGAGGCGTCATTTTTACTAGCCTGCCTAGCAAGCATTTCCATACAATGTATGAACAAAGAGCTTTTTCCGTATTTTGGCCACGCAAAGGAACCTCACTTACCCTACCACCTCCCTTTCCATCAATTTTTTGCTCTTGCCCCAATTTTCATGCAAAGAGCATGGGAACACTTGCTATGCAAGCTACATTTTTTAATATCCTGTAATGGACCAACATCCCTTCAGGGGGGGGGGGGG